CCCTTCCCCTCCCCCATAAACACAGACACGATTCTAGGCGTTCGCGGATACTTACCATTGATGTGTTTGAATCCGTTGAGGAACTTGGCGCGGCACCATTTCACGAAGGAATTGGCCATGTTTTTCGTCTTGTCGGCGCTGGTGTTGGAGAAGCGGCGGCGCGTCTTGCTGGACTTAATTGTGGCTGATGTTGGCGGGTTTCCTGAAGGTGTCGTCCAGCTCCTCCGTTTCTGAAGATGGGAGTAGGGAGGAAGGAAGGAAGGAAGGAAGGAGGGAGGTGTCTTCTCCCTTTGTTTTGTTTGTTTGTTTTATGGGAGCGTGAGGGAGTGGATGAAGTGGAAGAGGATGAGGATAAAGATGTTAAGAAAATGACGAGGAAGAGGAAGAGGGATAAGCTTTTTTTCTTTTTTTTATATTTTACGTTTTCTTGTTTTCTGTTTTCTTCTCATTACACTCTCTGCACAGGCATTGACACAGCCATGATTCTCTTGTTTCAAAGATTAATTTTTCTTCCAAGAACTGTTATCTCACTTGTATATATATTGCCTGTACTTTCTTTTCTATCTTTCTTCCTCTATTTATCAACCTCTCGCCTTCGCACTGTTTCTTTTCCAACACCAAAATAGACACTCACTCGCTAACTTTCTTCACTATTATGAAGAACACTAGAACACACTCTTACAAAATATCACACTTGATAACTTTTATTTTAAGGTTCTTCCTTAATGTTGATGTGGGTGGTTGTTCTTTGAAGATGACTTTGATGTTTCTCTCTCTTGTGTTCATTTAGACGTCTGTTCTTGAAGGCTGACTTCGGTGCCCGTTCTTCAGAGTCCGCCAGACGTCCGTTCTTCAGATAGGACAAAGACGCCCGTTCTTCCAATTTCCTTAGACGTCCGTTCTTCGAAGTCGTCTTCCTCGCGCGAGTTCGTTCGTCCCGACTTCGTCCCGACTTCCCGCCCCGCTGCGTGCCCTCCTCCCCCCCCTCCCCCCGACGCGCCAGGCTTCGGGTGTCGGCGGTACACTACAAATAAATGATAGCTTATCTGGGATCGTATACATACACCCTTTGATGAAAGCCGCTAGCGATAGTCCCCGATAAGACGTTCTTGGTCGTTGTTCGGGCAGCCGAGGCTCTCATGTCGACGCTGTCTCTCTCTCTCTCTCTCTCTCTCTCTCTTCCTTTCGGGCTGTCCTTCGGTCTCTTGCTTCTGGGATCTCTCTTCTATTCTCCTCTTGTTCCCGTTTGGTTTCTCTTTCTCTCGTGTCTTGTTTTCTGGTTAGTGGTTTGTCGCCGGGGCTTCGCTCACTAATTCGCCTATTTTCATTCTTTCGATTTTATCTTCCTTTCTTTCCTTCAGACTTTTTGAGGATTCTTTTTTTTTTAAAGAAAAGGAGAAATGTAACAATATCTTTGGGTACACGTTCGGTGCGATGTTAATTTCTGTCTTCCCTTTCTCTTCTGAGCGCGAATTCAAAGAACTAGAAAAATAACATCATATATGATGTGTCTCCGCATCAAACACTCGCGAAAAAGTTTTCCAATCGACTTGAAAACAACAACAAACACTTTTCTTCACGTGGTTTCAAGAGGCAGAGCAGCACTCTTCTCCCTTCGGTGGCTTTGCACTCACTGCCGTTCAGGGGCGAGTGCCACAGGTTAAGAGAGGAGCCAAGCGCAGTCCTCTCTCGTCCCCCGCTCGCTCAACACTGACGATTCTCCCTCTCGCGGTCTCTCTCTCTCGCTCGCTCTCTCTTGCGGTCTCTCTCTCTTCTTCCCTCTCTCTCTCTCGCTCTTGGGTTCTTGTTTTGTGTTTGTCTCTCTTTGATTTATTTGTCTGTTTTTATCAACGCGCATCTGATTATCTCGCTCTTCTCTTCTTTCTATTCCCCACTTTATAAAACCCAACCCTCTCTCTCTCTCGGTCTGTTCTCTCTCTCTCTCTCTGCCTATCCTCTCTCTTAACCACTTAGTTCATTAACTTCGCCATTCTTTCACCTCTTCTGTTTATCATTATTGTTATTCCATCTGTATTCGTAGGTATGGCTTCGCGCTGACGATACGACGGTGTTCTAGGGCGACTAATTGTAAGAAATGTCGTAAATATTTGTCGATATTTTCACATCTTTATGCATGCCATGGACTGTTTGCCGCTGCCGGGACCGCATTCCGAAACTGTCGTACCGCGCTCGCTCTTGAATGAATGGTTGTTTTCAATGTCCTTTTCTTCTTCTTCTTCTTCTTTTTCTCCTTTTTTGTTAAATATTATATATGGGTGCACGGGATTAATGGTTTGTTTTCCTCATGACCACGTCGGTTTATGGAAGTATATGGTTTAAATGATAAGTACGTGTGGTTTTGCATGGGTACCTCGCTGTCGAAAAAATTTGACTCTGTATTTTGCTGTAATGTTTCAAGTTATGGCGCTGAAACGTGGTCGAAATGAGTGCAAAAGGGAAGTCTCAACACAGACCGTCTCGCCGCAAAGTCAATCATAAAAAAAAAAAATGATACGCACAAAGCCCTTAATATGAGAGAAGAAGAAAAAAAATATGATAACATTATCTCTGACTCAGAGGAACTTTCAATAATGAAACAAAAAATATATAAAAAGAGAAAGAGAGAGAGGGAGAGAGAAATAATATTGGTAAAGAGAGAGAAAAAAGTCCGATACTGCGACTCCAAGCACCAAAGAAAGGATTAATAGCAAACAAGCAAATGATCAAGCAATCTTTCCCTTTGGTGGTGCCGACAGACTGAACGGGCGGGGCGGTTGCCAGCTACGGTATTTACCTCACCTATTTATTTCCCCGTATTTCCCCCCATTTCGGGCCTCGCTTGCCCTCCCCGCCCCGTCGGCGAGCTGTCGGGGAGCCGAGGGAGGTATCGGAGACGCGAAAGTCAGCTGTGGAGGCGCGCTGGCCGGGGAATATGCTCGTAATTAGAAGATAGAGTACCTCGACCGCCGCGCTGGGAGACTGTGGCAAGCTGACCGATGTTTAGTGAGGAGGTGGAGGACGGGGAGGGGGAGGGGGGCA